CCCCAAAACCCCAAAACCCCAAAACCCCAAAACCCCAAAACCCCAAAACCCCAAAACCCCATGAATCGACTCTTTAATTGAATTGTTAGTCTGAAATAAGTCTCTCTTTAGAACATATTTGCATTGACGGATGCTGCTGAATTCCCCTCCTTTCCCTGTCCGTTGATGTCGACGAGGAGTTGCTTGTTCATTAAGAATTCGTTCATGTCCATTCTTCCCTTCCTGGCTCCCTCCTTTTCTTCCATCTGCCTTTTCAAGAAGTCAGCATTTTCTTGATTAATTCTTTTAATTTTATTATCGATCCTTCTTTGCTCTTCTTCGTAGTTCTCTCTGTCTCTCTGCCACATGTTAGCTTGCTGGTCATTGAGTTCTTTCTCGATTCTCTCTCTTCTCTTCTTGTCTTCGACTTGCTTGGCCAGGAACTCTCTCATTTTGATCTTTTCGTCTTCTCTCTTTATATACGCTTTATTGTCGCTTCTCCTGTCTTGAAGCTCTTTTTGAATTTCGTATTGTCTGATCATTTCCTCTTCCTCCTTCTGCTTCTGGTCCATATTTTTAAATGACGGTGTCGGCCATCCTGCCCATGAACTCTTGGGCCCTGCGTTCTCTGTCGGCGAGTTCTTTGGCTCTGTCTTTTTCTTGCTGTTCGAGCATTTGGTTGTAGGCTTCTTGGGCTTCCACATCTTCTTGGCGTTCCTTCTCGGCTTCTTCAAGCTGTCTCTGTTTCTGAATTTCGTTCTCTTGCAACATAACCTGGAGGTACTTTACATTTGCAGTTCTGCGCTCTTGTGCTTGTCTACGTTCATCATCCATTTCTTGGTTCAGACGTTCGACAACTTGTCTTTCACGATTGAATTCTTCTTTCTCAGCAATGCGCTTTCTGAGTTTCTCCTGCTGGAGCTGCTGGTCTCTGCTTTGCTTTTCGGTTAGAACTTTCTGTCTGGACTCGAGTTGCCTCTCCTGCTCCTTCTTGTCTAACAGGTCCAGATGGTGTTTCTGAAGCTGCTCGTACTCTTTGTCTTCGAGCTGTTCCTTCTTCTTGCGTTTGTTCTTCTCTTTGACTTGTCTGTCAAGTTCTTCCCTGATGAGTCTCTTGCGTTCTTGTTCTCTGAGGGCAGCCTGTTTCTGCTCTTCGTAGTGCAGGGTGATGTTGAAGTTTTGGATGGCTTGCCATTCGTCTTCTTCGTTGAGGTTGGAATAGGTACTCTTGGTTCTGCTTTGGACGGAGAGCAAGTCTTCTGCAACTGGAGCTTCGGGAGGACCACCAATACCAGGCTTTTCTGATTTCTTGGACAAGTTTGTAGCTCCACTCATTCTGGATGAAGCATAAGATCTCACTGACATGGCATCATCATTCTGCTTAGCTTTAGATCTTCTTGATTGTCCTGAAGCAACGGTATGAGGTCTCGATGCATTTGAAATTCTAGAGGCTTTCGATTTTCTTGATCCTGTAGCTGATTTCAAAGATCTGTGCTCTGAAAGAATATCATCAGCCCTTTGATTCTTCTCATTAGCTCTTCCAATTTTCTCGTCTAATTTCACCAAATTGCTTTCAGTGAGCCTATCTGTTTTCAGAAATTTAGTAACTTCATTAGTAATCAACTTCTCGGCTTCTGGACCGTACTTGAGTCTGAATTTATCGACAAGGAGACCTTTGAGTTGCTGTTTCTTTTGGACATTCCCCTTGAGTCCTTGGTTATTATAAATATTAGTAAGTTTTTCCTTCCTAGCATCAGAAAGCCTAGAGTTTCCACTTCTCACACTCATATTTAAATTTAAAAATTTATTCTTATTTCTATTATATTTAAGCAAGATGGGGTTTTGGGGTTTTGGGGTTTTGGGGTTTTGGGGTTTTGGGGTTTTGGGGTTTTGGGG